TTTTTAATAAGGATTCAGCTATTGAATTTACATCAAAGTCTTGTGAATTTTATGCTTTAATAGGAGATAAATTGATTGGTTGAAAATTGTATATTTTTCCAAATTTGACAAGGCCCGTCAATTCAAAAAATATTTCCGAAAAATAAGATCGACACATCAGTCGCAGGACATTGCAGATCTACAGGGGGTCAAGTGTCACTCAAGGACCCCAAACAATCTTAGGAGATGGTACATTGAAAAAATACCCACTTTATTACCATTTTTGGAAATAATTTACAAGATCATCACAAAATTTATCCTAATTAAGACATGATATTCGATTTTGAGGGCCATTTCTACCCAAAATTGAAATGTACCATCTCCTAAGATTGTTCGGGGTCCTGTCACTCATATATGGGGCATGCTGCAACAAAACCAGACAAAGTGAACATTGGTATTACCAAGAATTTCAGGGATCAATATTGTTTGTTTAACATCACAATTGTATTACAATGTAATGTGATCATGATATTTGTCTAGACAAAAATAGTTAATATGAAACTCATCAAAGAATTGAACAAGATGAAAAAATTGCTCTTTATATTTTCAAAATTTTGATCACTTTGACTCGAAATTAATGGATTTAAAATTGACATGTTGATGTGTGAAAATGAAATTGCATAAAATTAAATAGTTATTTAAAATTTTTTTCACACACAACATAATATATAAAATAAAATAAATGACAAATTGATACAATGAATAAAACAACGCAACCTCAGAAATAAATACAATTGGAAGAAAAAAAAAGAGAAAATTTTAAAATTTAAAAGAATGAATACAAAGAGGATTTGAATGATTTTATTGATATTCATAAAATAAATGAATTCAATCATATATTGTAAGTAAATGTAATCAACTCATTTACCATTATGAAAATTTTCAAATATTTATTGAATTTGGATATATTATTCAATTATATTAATATATAATAAAAAAATTTTTGCACAAGTAATTAAAAGATTTTCTTTTTCAAGTCTAAAGAACTTACAGTGTAAAATAAGTTCCATATTCATGCATCAAAAAGATTGGTTGCAATGCATGGTTAGGTGATGTTGTTTTTTTTGCAATATTATTTTGTAAACATCAGTGATCTCTGCAACTGACCTTATTAAATGGACTCTCATGAGCCACAGAGTATGAATAAAATAGGTGATGGATTCAAGGTTGTTCATTTTCTTATATGGAATATATAAGTCAAATATTTCTTTTGACCTACACAGTAGCAGTCCCGGTTGATCAAAAATTATTATTTTAAGTTTGTGTCTATTTTTATATATAGTGGGATTAGAGTTAGAATAAAGTAATTGAGGTAACTAAGATTTGCATTATATACTACATACCATATGACTGCAACAAGAAAATTTCAGCTTCACGAATTTGTTTCCAAAGAATTTCGGAATCTTCTCCAAGATACTGTGTGTTCTTATTGATTAATTCGGAAGCATTCATGATTATACATGCAGCCCAAAGTATTTTGACACTATCATAAAGGGGGTTACACATGTAGTAAAGGGGTGTTACACTTATGT